CCTGATATTAACTATAGAAAAGATATATATTGAATATGGTTTAATTTTTGTTCGTTGGGTTTTGTTACGGGTTTAATTAGTATTCATAGGAGGTGGTTTGGTCCCATGTTTGGTCCCATGTTTGGTCCCATGTTTGGTCCCATGTTTGTTCCTATCTTAAGCTGTCGTCCCTTCACGTAAAATCGATAAATAACGATAAAATATAACAAAAAAAAACTACAGCTGACGTCACCGAGTTTATATACAGTCCAGCACCCTCTAAAAGAAAAAAGATAGTCGCTCCCAACCAACCCGGAAATAACTACTCATAACTCAGGGGTACTTCACCTATCGTGGGCGTGTGGTACTGAAGGCATGGGTGGTCGTTGGCAGAGGATAGGGTAAGTAGTTGGAAGGGGAAGGGACAGGGTTTTAGTCGGTAGGGTATAGTGACAATGGGTGGTGTGGGTGGTGTGGTGTGGTACAAGACAGATGGGACTGTGTGTATGTCTGTTAGGATGTGTGGTAACTAAAGGTGGCTGAGGGTGGTAAGGATGTGGTGACGACGTAGTGACGATGGTGCAGTGGTGGTGCCGTAGTGGTGCCGTGGTGGTGACGTAGTGGCGAGGATAGATAGGATGGGGGGACACTATGCGGACCAGTAGGGAAATGTAGGGAAAGTAGAAAGAAAGGATGGGGAGGGGGAGAAGGTAGATAGATGAGGAGGAGGAGAGGAAGGGAGGGGAGGGAGGGGGAGGAGGAAGGAGGGAGGAGGAAGGAAAGGAGGGGAGGGAGAGGGGCTGGACGACACCCAAAAGACACTGATAGTTCCTAATTTGACGGAGACCCCAAGACGCTGCTAATATCTCTCTTCTTCAAAGCCTCCCTTCAGGATAAGGTTATCTCCCCACCTAAACACCAACTCGGTCGTCCTCTCCTTACCTGTATGGGGACCAACATCAAATGGGAATATTATCGGTTAAAAAAACAAGAATATACAACCAAAGTGATGCCCAGTGGTTGGATGATCATATTCAGGATGATGACTTTATGGATATATCGAGTGTGTGTGTGTCAGGTGTAAGACGATTGTACCGCTGGTGTTTGTAGTTATTTATAATATTAAGGACGATGGAGTAGGATATGTTTCTTCCTTATCATGCAGGTTGAGGAGGAGAGGGCTAGTGGAGAGGAGAAAGGAAAGGAGGAGGTAAGGAGGAGGGAAAGATTACACCCAGAAGACGCTTCCAGGTGATGGAATCCCCAGGCCGTGTGTGCACCTGCCCTACCTCACCTGCCACCCTCACCAACACTCCCTTCCCCACACCCTCACCAACACTCCATCTCCTACATCCTCTCCAACACTGCATCTTCCACCACTCGCCTACCTCACACACACCCCCTCCACCCATACACCCACACCCACCCACACACACACACACACACACCTCCACACACCCTCCATACACACCCACACCCTCCACACACCTCCATACACACCCACACCCACCCACACACACACACACCCACCCACACACACACACACACCCTCCACACACCCTCCATACACACCCACACCCACACACACACCCCCTAAAGCACACACACACACCCTCCACCCACACCCTCCACCCTCTACACACCCACACATAAATAACCTACACCCTTATTGAGTTAACATCAACCACCTCACCCCCCCCCCCATACACCTTTCCCTCAACCAGGTAGATATTAATCCCCATTTTCACTTCCCACGTTATGCATTTCCTTCCTTCCTTCCTTCCTTCCTTCTTTGTTTTTGTGTGTTTTTTTTCTATCTATTATCTGTTTGGTTTATTCTTCCTTGTTCTTTATCGCGAGAAAGGCATCAGAGTTTTACGATTCTTCATTGATTTAATTTTTGTCCCTTAAGTAAGATGTCTAAGAATGCATCAAATTTCTGCTGTTAATTCAAGACACTAACCTAACCTAGCCTAGCCTAGCCTAATCTAACCTAACCTAGCCTAACCTAACCTAACCTAATCTAGCCTAATTAACTTCCCCCTAGAAATGTTGTCTACCATTTTTGTAATTTGTCTTGAGTCTTTTAACCATCTGAGCCGCCGACGATCCCTACCTCACCTCCTTCCCTCCTTCCACCCTTCCCTCCCTCACCTCCTTCCCTCCCTCCACCCTTCCCTCCCTCCCTGCCGTCCTACTTTATGGGTCGTTTTACCAGGAACCTGCTACCTGGCCCTCGTCCTTATGGTCCCCCGCCACTCAGGGCTGCCACTATGGTTGACCCTTACCACCCAGGGCTGCCAAGAACAAAGGTACCAACCTAACCGAGGCCACACTCTCTGGAAGGGTTGGTATTATAACAAAACAGAAGTACCAACCTCAATCATCTTAGGGAGACTAATGGGGGGTTGGTTACTTGCATATCAACATGGCGGCCAGTCTTCTTAATTAACCATTTAAAGGTAAATATAATTAATTATTGGAATACCTGAAGATTAGACACCCCTAATTAATTTCACCTGAAGATTAGACACCCTGGACACAATTAGTAGCGAGTAACACATTAGCTGGGGGGAGGTGGTGGGAGGGGGGGGGCCACGTCACACCTTAAATAAGTACAGCTGTATCTCAAGACAAGTGGCAGTACCTTTATGTGTGTGTGTGTAAACATTGGCTTCCGTTTATGACGAGTTTGTTGATAAGCAGCGATAACGACCTGGGGATCATTTGAAGCTTTGTTAGGGTGAGAGATAGAGAGTGGTTCTATGGTTAGGTTAGGTTCATTTATTCAGTCAGTCAGTCAGTCAAAAGAGCCGGTTATTGAACTGCTAAGTGAAACAAAACAATAACAAGGGAGTTAATATATCCACGACGATACTTGTGTGTGTGTGTGTGTGTGTGTGTGTGTGTGTGTGTGTGTGTGTGTGTGTGTGTTCCTTCATCGATCTTAAGTTCAAACAGTTAAGTTGGAAGGAAAGCACTTGATCTGGCCTCAATAATACCCCCCCAAAAATGGTGTCAAATCTATACTGAGACTCTACAGTAACTAGATACATTAACCTAGCCTAACCTAACCTAACCTATCCTAACCTATCCTAACCTAACCTAACATAACCTATCCTAACCTAACCTAACCTTTGAGTCCTTGTGCTGTGCCTTTTCCTCCGTCAATCCTAGGCACAAATATGGTTCCCATCAGTCAAGCTAACGTGGACCACTTGACTGTGCTTGACCTCTGACCTTTGACCTTTTGCTGGACTTGACCAAAACACAATGGACATTCCCCCACTCATCAACTGAGATTACGTAGGCAAGCATTGACGTCACCTTAAACAGCCAGTCTATAAATGGTGAAGGTAGAATGACGTCATCTAAAATTTAACCAATAGTAGTAACGGGTTAATGACGTCACCTAAAATTTAACCAATAGTAGTAACGGGATAATGACGTCACCTAAAAATTCAACCTATGGGAGTACCGACATATTAACGTCACATAACAATCAACCAATGAGAGCTTTAGGAGTTATATTTTATCAGCCAGTATATCAGTAAATTAGGTTAAGTTAGAGTAGATTAGGTTAATTTAGGTTCACTTAGACCCCCTAAAAAGGCCTTCATATGAACCTTTAAACCCCCTGGGGCCAATTTCACCTTTAAATAGAACCTCGTCAGGGATAAACCAAATGTTGACTCCATTAATTCGCTTCCTAGATAACTCAAGCTGCCGTCCGTCTCTTTTATCTGTCTTCCCTTCGTTATTATCGTCCATTAGGGCTCCTCCAACCTTTATTCGTGTCTTTGCTTTGTATCTTTTTATTTTGGTTTATGTATTATTATTATTTTCTTTTGGGTTATCTATTTCGCCGCCATTTTAGATCATCCTTAACCATCGACCTACAACCATCGACCTACAACCATCGACCTACAACCATCGACCTACAACCATCGACCTACAACCATCGACCTACAACCATCGACCTACAACCATCGACCTACAACCATCGACCTACAACCATCCGGCCTCAACCACACACACAAATGTATCAATACATCATTATACATACCTTACTATATTATACATAAATACATTATATACACATACATATACCGTGCATAAGCTGTGTGTGTGTGTGTGTGTGTGTGTGGTAGACAAAGGCTCCTGCGCCATGAGCCTCTTAAGAGCACTACACCCTCCCCACTACTAGGAGATGACCCCCACTCTTTCTCTCCTCCCCACCACTGAAACCCTCCTCTCTCTCCCTCACCTCTCCTCCCTCCCCTTCCCTCACCTCACCTCCTCCTCTCCCTTCCCTCACCTCACTCTCCCTTCCTCACCTCTCTCTCCTCCCTCCCCCTTCCCCCCTCACCTCTCTCCTTCCCTCTCTCCCCTTCCTCACCTCTCTCCCTCCCTCCCTTCCTCTCACCTCTCTCCTCCCTCCCTCCAACCCTTCAGTCTGATCTTCTCCTCCTTCCTCTTTCCCTCTCTCACACACACACACACTCCCTTCCACAACTACGTCTCTATTTTCTTTTGTGTGTGTGTGTGTGTGTGTGTGTGTGTGTGTGTCTGTGTGTGTGTGTGTGTGTGTGTGTGTGTGTCATTGTCTTATCAGTAAAAAAAACCACACAATTAACTCTGAATAAATTTGTTGTAAAGTAATAGAATAAATCCCATCCTTAATAACTATTCATAAATCTCACTTTAGTACAGTGTATTTAAGGCGTTATAAAGAGTTAAAGAAGGTTGTGGTGTACATTAAGGTGACGCGAGGCAGCTGAGTGGTGTTGACATCGCGGGGCGTCATTCGAAGATTTCTTGGTTGAACGTCAAAAATATATTCGTCATTTCGCTTTATCAATTCACTTTCTAATCAGACTCAATTGGAACACTCACAAGCATCACTTCCCTCTGCTTTTGAAGTCTTATGGGTGCTCCTTGAAGAGACAGACAGGTCCCATAATGCACGCGTAGAGCGAAGGTATAAAGAGAGGTTGGCAGCAGGTCTCGCGGTTAGTAGCCCTCGGACAGTGGTAGGGAGAGGTGTTGCGGACAAGGTTCTCCCCTGCTTTGAGTTAAACTTGTTTGATGTATTTTCTCACAAGTCCGTCATTATTCTCAGAGCGATTTTTTTTCAGAACTTTGCTATGAAATGAAAAGAGTCGATATTTCGAAGATGAAATAACGAACGAATCTCGAACTTACGATAATCACGAGGATGATTTTAATGTTTATAATGACACTTAGAGGTACATTGGTGACACGCAGGACGGGGTAGTGGCGCCAAGGACTTAAAACCATCATAGTGGAGGTAAACTGAGTCTGGATTTGCAGTTAAACAGGTAAATAAAAGTTTATTATTTATAAATCACAACAATTATTATTTTTTTCTTTATTTCTCGTTATTTTCTTACTTTTATTTACTTTTATTTTTATCTGACACTTGTCTTTGGTACTTTTAAGTGACTGTGTATTGAAGATCAGGGTTTCATAGTTGGCACGATCATTGTTTTCAAGCTTGTGTATGTGTGTGTGTGGGGGGGGGTGTGTGTATGTATGTGTTTGTGTGTATGTATTTATATTTGGATATGTGTGTGTGTGTGTGTTTGAATGTGTGCATGCATGAGTATGTGTGTGTTTGGATGTGTGTATGCACGTATATGTGTATGTACAGTATGTATGCGTATGTGACAGTACAGAAGACGTTCATAGTGTGTGTGTGTGATCCCCAAGTGTAAACATTAAATACTCATTCATAAATCACGTTAAATATCCAACCTATAGGTACATAGGTGTTATGTTATTAATTACAAGGGACAACAAACACATTAAAACATACAATAAACACACAGAGGTTCATAAACATCACCACGAGACCTCTGAACCCCTTAACTAGACCTCTGAACCCCTTAACTAGACCTCTAAACCCCTTAACTAGACCTCTGAACCCCTTAACTAGACCTCTAAACCCATTAACTTGACCTCTGAACCCCTTAACTAGACCTCTGAACCCCTTAACTAGACCTCTGAACCCCTTAACTAGACCTCCTGAACCCTAACTAGACCCTCTGAACCTTAACTAGACCCTCTGAACCCTTAACCAGACCTCTGAACCCCTTAACTAAACTCCTCTGAACCCCTTAACTTGGACCCTTCTGAACCCTTAACTTGACCTCTGGAACCCATTATCCTGACCTCTGAACCCATTAACTTGACCTCTGAACCCCTTAACTAGGACCTCTGAACCCCTTAACTAGACCTCTGAACCCTTAACGAGACCTCCTGAACCCTTTAACTAGACTCCTGAACCCCTTAACTAGACCTCTAAACCCTTAACTAGACCCTCTGAACCCTTAACTAGACCTCTGAACCCCTTAACTAGACCTCTAAACCCCTTAACTAGACCTCTGAACCCCTTAACTAGACCTCTGAACCCCTTAACTAGACCTCTGAACCCTTAACTAGACCTCTGAACCCCTTAACTAGACCTCTGAACCCATTAACTAGACCTCTGAACCCCTTAACTAGACCTCTGAACCCATTAACTTGACCTCTGAACCCCTTAACTTGACCTCTAAACCCCTTAACTAGATCCTAAACATATTTACTGACATACATAAAAAAAATACATATTAACATTTCATTTACTTCAACACGTAATTTTATGTTCAGTTAATGTTGATGAAATATTAGATAAATATTTATTATTTTTGGTTATTATTAAACACCATAACGTTACAATCGGTTATATACTTTAGATAACGGATCCCTTAATCTATTTGATATATACCGGTATTACTTTTTTGTATTCTCTATACCGGACATAACTCAAGGATATACCGGATTAATACGTGTATCTTCGGTAGTGGAGCCGATTTTTCGTACTAAAGACGTGATTCTGGTTAGGTTGGGTTATATAGGGTTAGGAAGGGGTTAGCACATCGTATTCAAGGGGTTAAGTCATCGTATTGAAGGGGTTAAATCATCGTACTCAAGAGGTTAAGTCATCGTATTGAAGGGGTTAAATCATCGTACTCAAGAGGTTAAGTCATCGTACTCCAAGAGGTTAAATCATCGTATTCAAGAGGTTAAGTCATCGTATTCAAGGGGTTAATTCATCGTACTCAAGAGGTTAAGTCATCGTACTCAAGAGGTTAAATCATCGTACTCAAGAGGTTAAGTCATTGTACTCAAGGAAAAATATTCGATGCACAAAACAAAACAGGAAATTGCAATATAAAAAAAAACTTGCAACACAATAAGCAACACAAGAAGCAACAAAGGCATGCAGAGGAATAATTAGAACAAGATAGACAAGAATTGACAATAACAAGAACTAAGACATGCAGGAAATAGCAACACACACACAGGCAAGCAACACCAAAGAGCTCTTCAGTGTGCAACAAAATATGCTACAGCGCTTAACAATATCAGCAACAGCAAGCAAGACCCGTATTTATCTTCAATACCCCATGCAACATCAAGCACAATACCCCATGCAACATCAAGCACAATACTCCATGCAACATCAAGCAATAATATAAGTAACTTCAATACCCCATGCAACATCAAGCAATAATATACGTAACTTCAATACCCCATGCAACATCAAGCAATAATATACGTAACTTCAATACCCCATGCAACATCAATCAATAATATACGTAACTTCAATACTCCATGCAACATCAAGCAATAATATACGTAACTTCAATACCCCATGCAAAATCAATCAATAATATAAGTAACTTCAATACCCCATGCAACATCAAGCAATAATATAAGTAACTTCAATACTCCATGCAACAGTATATGCAACAACAAGCAACTAGATCTGCATTAACAGAAAGACGACCTGCAGGAGAAGGGACACAGCTCATGACACAGACTACCTACTGTTGGCCAGCCAGTCATCCATGCAGAATGATCAGACGGAGATAAGTGGGTGTAAGAAGCAAGGGGGAGAGAGGAGGGTGGGGAGTGGGGATAGACAGAGAGAGAGAGACAGGAGGACAGGGATAAACAGAGAGAGAGAGAGAGACAGGAGGACAGGGATAAACAGAGAGAGAGAGACAGGAGGACAGGGATAAACAGAGAGAGAGACAGACAGGAGGGCAGGGATAAACAGAGAGAGAGACAGGCGGATAGAGACAGAGTTAAACATGTGGACAGTTACACAGACAGAAAGATAGATAGTTTAACAGACAGTAAAGTAGACAGTCAAACAGAGAGACAGATAGAGAGTTAAAAAGACAGAAAGCTATATCCATACAGTCAGAAATACGAACATAGACAGATAGACAGACATTTAGGCAGACAGATTCTCTCTCTCTCTCTCTCTTTCTCATCATCATCATTCATTTTATCATCTGTTTATCATCCCCTCTTTGGCTACCTCTCTTTATCACTTATTCTTCACACACGTTTATCTCATTGTCTGCTTCTTCTCTCTGGGATTTTTTATTTATATTTTTTATTCTTTGTCGTTTTAGTTAAGGGACTTGTGCTGTAGACTCTGTGGCCATGAGGTATTAATTATTATTTTTATAACTATGGCTTATGTAGTGGTGTAGACAGACAGAGAGACAGATAGACAGAGAGACAGACAGACAGAGAGACAGACAGACAGAGAGACAGACAGACACTCAAATTAGTTCTAAGAGAAATATACATATTCGTATTTTTTCTACATAATATTTTCTAGGGACGCACATACACACACACACACACACAATACACAATCTCAAACATACACCTTCACACCGAAACAAACACGTACAAACACATACACACACAAACAACCTCCAAGCGAATCAGCTCATCAAGTAGCTCGTTTCATTACTAAAATCAAATCAACAACTCTTCATCCTCTTCCTCGTAAAACTCTCCATATTAAACCGCAACAAAATACCTATAATTATCCTCGACTTATTTTCTATGACATGCAAAACACCGATACCTTCATGAGCTAGTTAAGAGAATCAGTGGTTTATAGAGCGTATTGGGGAGTGACAGCTTTAAGGCGAGATTTGTGTGGTGGGGTGAGGAGATGGTCGACCTAAGGTGGGATAGTTGGATAGCAGTATAGTGAGTGTGTCAAGTGAGGTCACGACGCGAGTAAGCCTTTTTGATTGATAGATTGATTGACCTCTTATGATTTTATTTTAGTTCCTTAATCTTTCTCTACCTGTCTTTCTTTCTTTCTTTCTTTCTTTCTTTCTTTCTTTCTTTCTTTCTCTCGTTCTCCATTTCTCACTCTCTCAACCCTCATCCATGGAGAGAGATAGAGAGAGATTCAAGACACAACACGACACTCCCTTTACCCAACAGCATCTGAACAACGACATATAAGCCAAACAGAGTCACTTTCTTCCCTTCTACTGCTTGAAACACCCGTCTGTCATCCCTCTGTCATTACCCCGTCGCCCGCCTGTCTACCCGCAGAAGAAAGTACGTGATTAGCGGAATGTAACTTAGTATTCGCCAAGTTTTAACGAAGAGGAGACTAGTAATAATATGGAAAAGGGGATTTTTTTTTGTAGATACGAAGTCTTGTTATTTGGTATCTTGCAGATTGTTATTATTGTTCATGATAAGTTTGTTTAATTTATTTTGCTTTTTTTTTGTTATTTGAGGAGAAAAACCCGTAGAGTTTGATAGGGGAAACGTGTCCCCTCTTCCCCGCCCCTCCCTTCCCTCTCCACTCCCCCCTTCCCCTCCCCTCTCCTCCCATCACCAGAGTAATTTCCATTCAATACCCCATCACTCATCACTCCATCATCATAGCAACCCCCACTCATCACCCCTTCATCACAGCGACCCTCATTCATCACCCCGTCACCACTCACTCATCACCTCCACCCTCATCACCTCACCACCACCTCCAATCCTCCTTCAACCTCACTGATACCCACACCACCCCCTCCCACACACACACTCCCCACAAGAAGGTAATCCTCAGCTCAAGGAGGCAGGAAGCCTTTAGTACCTCCTAGACCTCACCACCTCACCTCCTGACCTCACCACCCTCATACCTCCTGACCACCACCTCATACCTCCTGACCTCACCACCCCTCATACCTCCTGACCTCACCACCTCCACCTCCTAGACCTCACCACCCCTCATACCTCTGACCTCACCACCCCTCATACTTCCTGACCTCACCACCCTCATACCTCCTGACCTCACCCCTCCTCATACCTCTAACAGGCTTTGACACCACCTCCACCACTACACCGACCTCCGGATTATGTTTTACGCCTTAGAGGGGATTTACTTGCATAATCTTAAATCCCCTTTTTGGTGTCGCTGTTGTTAATCGGATAGTGAATATTTTTGGGGTGACCTGTGACGATGTGGGGGGTGGTGTGTGTGTGTGTGTGTGTGTGTGTGTGTGTGTGTGTGTGTGGAGGCAGTAGGAGGTGGAACATAGCCAGAGTGAGTATAAAGACATTATTGGTATCGTCAGGTTAATGGATGTTATGAAAGGTAGAGCACACACACACACCTGACACACATACACACACCACACACACCTGACACATACACCTGAGACACACACGCACACCACACACCTGAGACACACACATACACACACACCTGAAACACACACACACACATACACACACACACCATTTACTCACATACAAAGGCAAGAGACCAGCCTCAGCAACCCGATACCTACGTCCGTGTTTACTTAACCAACTCTTAGGGAACAATGGCTGGATCTACAAGGCTAAACTACCGCCTAACCTTCGAGTAATTGACTTGGTAAACACGGAGAGGCAATGTCTCATAGGAATATTAGAGACAGTTGCTTATAAGAGTGACTTACCGATGCATACAGTGCCTCTCTCTCTCTCTCCTGTGTCGATGCCTCCACACCTCCACCTCTTATGAAAAAAAAGGTTAGGTTAGGTTAAGGTGAAACCAGTGTGCTAAAAGAAGTGCTCATAATGTATTTTCCTTGATAAAGTAAACACACACACACACACACACACACACACACCTTCTTATCATATTTAAAACATATCCACTAATCTTCAGAGCTACACCGAGAGGAAAGTAAATTTATCAAACAGACGAAAGGAGACTGACAACTTCACAGAGGTTCATCGTCTCCATCTCCCTCCTCCTCACTGTGAACTTCCGGTGTGGGACAAAAACAAGAATTATTATAAGAACTTTAGGCAGGAACTTTAGTGAGGGATAGAACTTTGTTGACAGATGTTTGGTGTTTGTGGCTATTATTCACCATTTCATCTTCTCAGTGTTCGCCTTCCATGACCGAACTGATGGATGTTTGTTTTTTTCCCCACATGAGGGATATTATATTTCAAGTGAGGTTTTAACGCAGCTTGTGATGAATTTTGTTATTAGACTTATGTTTTTGATGTTATGTTATCAATGCTCAGGTGAGAGTTAGGGTTTTGAGAGAGAGAGGGGGGGGGGGACCCGTGTCGAAACTGTAATAAAATGGCAATTCGAGTCACGTGAATGAGTCCTCGAACTGTCATATACCCTCACTGTCTCTGGTGTAGGTGAGTGATTTTATCTCATTGGGATCGAACTGCTTCACTGCTTCACATGAACTCTTGAACTCTTGAACCTGACCGTACAATAATTTCTAAACCCTATTATTGTAATGTTATAAATTAAACCGAGTAAAAATACAATATAAAATAAACGTGACTCGATCGCCATCTTTCAAGTCGTCCTCACAATATTGGAACAAAAGTGACCCTTAGGGAGAGTTACGAGGCTTTTAAAAATATATTAAAGCCATATGATACAACACTAAGATTAAAATATTGACTCATTATAGGTGTTTAGTTTGAGGTAAAGAATTATGTAGCGAGTGTAATAGTTGTTGACAGTACTGTAGGTAGGTTGGTGGTGTTAGTGTCGACAGGTAATGAACAGGTAATGAACAGGTAATAAACGTAGACAGTAGATGAAATGACAGGTAACTAGACCATTACCACATATATCTATCATAAATAATATCACAACACAATGGCCATACAACACACCTTAACCTAAAAATATCCTCAAATTACGTGTATTAAACAACTATGTGGAATATTTACCGCCTCTCCTTACCTCACTAATGGAAGTCTCTCATGAATAAGGGAAATATTTTCAAAACACTGTAATTCCGGAGTAGTTGCCTTAACACCGTCAGTAGGGAGGTGTGGACGGCATCACCACCTGCAGCGTGTCACCACAGCCGTGTGCTGACGGTGTGGTTGTTGACGTGTGTGTATCTGCCAGGTGTTGCTTCAGGTGGTAGTTAACGACCAGGACCTGTGGGGGCAAAGGTGTTCGTTAAGGAAGGTTTTTCTATTTTATTTTATTTTTATTTTATTTTACGTGAATATAAAAATGGAAGATATCATATGTGTATTGCTATGTATGTATGTGCGTGTGTGTGTTTTTTTGTGAATGTGTGTATGTAAATTTACGTATACGCGCTGGGTTGTGTATGTGAATCTGTGAGTGCATAGGTGCGTGTATGTATATGTGCGTGTTCAATTCATACTCCCTCACCCAGGTGGCGTAACAGGAGAAGTACTTCTCACACACCTCAGGCGTGAATAGAGAAACACAATCATAGTGAACACAGCGAGGGAGAGATGTAGAGGCACAGTGAGGGGCGTGAGGACACAGTGAGGGGCATGAGGACACAGTGAGGGGCGTGGGGACACAGTGAGGGGCATGAGGACACAGTGAGGGGCGTGGGGACACAGGCTCAATAAGAAGTGGCCACAGCAGGCGACCCACCACCCGTTTCTCAAAGACCCTTACGTTAAAATGTTCTCCTAACTTGTGGTGTGTGTGTGTTGATCTGTTCCACGCTGAGTTACGACACAAAAATGAACTATCTATAAACCAATAATAAGTGAAGTAAGATTGTATGTACTGTGTGTCATGTGTCAACGTTACTTAAAGCTCCTACATAAAGATATATTCTCAAAGATTCATGGATTAATCTCCCCTTCCCTAACAGGTGACGCGAGACCGTATCTTGCATACTCGCCCTATGATACGATACACACAAAGATGGCGTCAAAATTGCATCAAGATACAACCATAAAATTAAAGATACGATTTATCATCTTCAAAAAGGAAGGAAAGATTGAACACACGAAACACGAAGTTAGTATTATGAGTCAGGAGGCTATAGGGGCCATGGGTGCAGCTGTCTGGGGGCGTAGGGGGTGCATAGGTCACAACAGGAGAGCCGTGGGTCTGCGTGGGTCGCCCCCTGTAAGTCGTGAGTTGAATCAGGGATACGTGGGTGACATCTCTAGTCGTGTGTGCATCTTGAGGGTCGAGGGTCAAGCGTGGTGTTCAGGATGAATGCCGTCAGCCGCACCTTGAGGACTTGGGTGTGTGGACGTGGATGATCGAGGCTCGTATGTGACTAGGGGCGTGGGATGAAAGGTGTTAAGGTAAAATTAGGAAGTAATTATCTCTGTGTGAAAGGCCTTTACGCAGTTTAGGGAGCTGAGTACCTTTGTTTGAATGGTATATAGTCAGTTTAGGTGATGTCGTAACCTTTCCAAATAGGCGATAATATATTTTGGAGAGTAATTCTTATGATCGATCAGGAACCAATGCAACAACACCGATTTAAACGTATATCGAACTATGGGGGGTAAGGTAGAGCCCCAGGGGTAGACGGCAGGTAAACGCCAGTGCCTGTATAGGGAGCGTCTCGGACCACTGGTTTAGTATGTGAGGGAGAACCTGTCCGGCGGAAGCTTCGTATGCCATGCGCTCCTTTACCTCCCTCACTTGTTGTTGATCGGCACCGCTGATAACGCGCGTATGCATGTGTGTCCCGCTGCTACACAGAAGGTAAGAGAATGATCCAAGGACTGCATACCAAACACAACACTAAGCTGCTGAAGGAGGCGAGTCATTGTTGTGTAAGATCCACCGACTTAATGTTACACAACGGTTCATATCAAATAATAAATCAAACTCCCCCCCAAAAAACTCTCATCATCATAAGAAACTGATAACTTATGAAGCATTAAGTCAAATAGTAAACAAAGGAACAAGACGCATACACGAGGCCAGGGTGTGTCGGGGGGGGGGGGTGAGGTGAGCTGGGATGTCTCACTGACTGTGGGAGCTGTGTCTCTCATCTCGTCTTTTGCGTCTTGTGTGTGGATGTGTGTGTGTGTGTATCTCGTGTGTCTGGTTACTGTCTATAAAGACTTATTCTCTCTCCCTGGTGTACTGGTTAGTATAATCGTCCTACAAGTTAGTGTTGCTGGGTTGGATTCCCCTGAGAATTGTTCTAATTCCGGTCAAGTTCACTGTTCACCAATTGCCTCTCTCAACTCGCCAGTAGTCGGGGTTTGTGTTAGATTCTCCAGGTACAGCAGCTTACATAATAACGGTGTGGTGATTGTGGTAGCGAGGGGCAGTGTGGTAGACGGTAAACATGTTCACACCAAAGATGGCCTAACGGGTGGGTGGTCGCCCGCTGTCATGTGAGCGAGGGGCAGTGTGGTAGACGGTAAACATGTTCACACCAAAGATGGCCTAACGGGTGGGTGGTCGCCCGCTGTCATGTGAGGCTACTCTCTCTCTCTCTCTCTCTCCCGAGGTTTCTGTCATCCATCATCCACATCTCTCGTCCACTAAATAGAAGAATGTCCGCCGAACTTCAGTAGCTGCCGCCCCGCCACCCACCGTCCGACCATTTCTAGCCCTGCCACCCACCGACGCACTGCAGTACCCACCTCTGCCACCCATCACCCCACTGTTTCACTACCTATACCCTTGCCACCCAATACTCCGCCCCCCCCCCCCCCTCTCCGGATGACTCACTGTCTACTGCATTGCTAGACACCGCCCACTGCCCGCCGCCCGCCCGCCCGCCCACCACCCGTCGCTCCTACCGCACGTTGACCTACCTCTTGTAGTAGTCGCTGAAGAGGTCGTCTGTTGGGTGGAAATGGGATCAAATAACTGAGGGAGGTATGGAGACTTGACGCCGCCAGGAGAGGGATTCCTTCACCACCAGTATACCAACAGTCACCACCACCACTACCCAGCAGTCACCACCACCAGTCAATCATTCCCACGATCATACAGTCACCACCACCAGTCAATCACCACCACCAGTCACTCATTCCCACGAGGGGCACAGTCACTCCCTTGTCTCGTCTACCCATTAATGAGGCGACTTCCCTCACCTCAAAGGTCATTATGACGTCACCAAATATTCGTACCATACAGTACTGGTGTGTGTGTGTGTGTGTGTGTGTGTGTGTGTGTGTGTGTGTGTGTGTGTGTGTGTGCGCGTGTGTGTGTGTGGTAGAGTGTTTTTATTAACACACATGTTAAAGACGACAGAAGGAGAGAGAGAGAGAGAGAGAGAGAGAGAAAGATAGAGAGAAAAAGAGACAGAAAGAGAAATCGAGAGACAGATGAACGTTTCTCTTGTAATAATGAGACAGAAAAAAACTTACATTAAATAGATAAACAATACGTATGTTCCTTATCGATTACTATTGACCAATCTTTTATCAGTCTGGCTCAGGGTGACAGACCTTTTGACAGACGGTGTGACAGGTATGTTTCACGACGCTTGACAGGTTGACAGGTAGAAAAATATAATCTGTTGCTTGGTGTCACAGAGGAGACCTGCCGCTGGGGGGGTGGGTTATTTTGGAAGGTTTATTCGAGATGATGACGAGACTAATGACGAAGGCGATGATGGGGGAGGAACTAATGATTCAAATGTTTATTTTATTTATTTTTTATACTAGGCGCTGTTCAATGTTTATACTGGCGTTGGTGATTGCTCTTACTGGCGCTAATTGTATGGTACTGAGAAGAGAGTTATTTTCTCCTTAAATAAACAAGATATATAGATTCTCTCTCTCTCTCTCTCTCACACACACACACACACACACACACACACACACACACACACACACACACACACACACCAGGAATGTATCTGAGGAAGGTAACAGGACGCCCTCGAAGGTGTGTTGGCTGTAGGAGGGTTTCAGGAGGCTATATTGATGAGCTTCTGAGGGAGAACTTGACATCTGCCCTCCTTACTCCCTCATTACCCACTCCCCCCCTCCTCTTCCCCTCACCTCCCCTCCCCTTCAACCTCCCTCTTCACCCCCCCACATCCCTTCATCACCCCTTGACAACCTGGTCCGCCCACATGTGTCATAACATTGTCACGACCTGGTGTGTTGCCAACTCCTCCTGGCAGAGAGTTTTGGACATTTTCTTAAATAGATTCTGTGGGACGGAGGGAAGAATGAGGGAGGGAGGGAGAGAGAGAGAGAGAGGGAGGGGGAGGGAAGGGTGTGAGTCATTGGTCTTAAAGTACATATTTGTTGTTGTAGTAAAGTGAGTTTTCTGAGATACAAGTAGGAAGAAGGAAGAGAAGAGGAGGAAGAAGGAAGAGGTGGAGGAAGAAGGAAGAGAAGAGGAGGAAGAAGGAGGAGGTGGAGGAGGAAGGGAAGAAGGAGGAGGTGGAGGAGGAAGGGAAGAAGGGGAGGAGCGAAAAATAAAAAAGGAATAATGGAAATAAGAACGAGAAAAAAGGAGGAAGGGAAAGAAAGCAGGAAGGAAGGAAGGAAGGAAGGCTGGAGGTTGGCGCTGAGTGTAAACAGTTTACCTGAGACCAGCTTTCTGTTGGTGATCTGGAGCATCCACACAGGTAGACAGACAGACAGACAGACAGACAGACAGATAAATATAGACAAGTAAATATATAAAGAGAATAACTAATACATATAAATATAACATAAAGAGAGAGAGAGAGAGAGAGAGAGAGAGAGAGAGAGAGAGAGAGAGTAATAAATGAAACAAAAGAAAAAGAGAAACTAGGGAAAACCTTTAACTCTCTCTCTCTCTCTCTCTCTCTCACCCCAGGCATGACGGGCGTAACCTACAAGACATAACCAAAAAAAAACTAGCAAAAAAAAATGTTTTGTCGTTAAGTGTGAGTCGAGAAGATAACGAAAAGGAAATGGGAGGTGATGGGAGATTAACGGTGAAGGGTGAGGAGAGGGGGAGAGACAGAGAGAGGGGAGGGGAGGGGTGATGAGAAAGTAAGAGGGAGAAGAAGAGAAATGGGTGAGTGGGGAGAGGGAATGGGTGAGTGAGAGAGAGACTCACCTAACCCACATCAACACCTGTAGTACCTTACCTAACCCACATCAACACCTGCAGTACCTTACCGAACCCACATCAACACCTGCAGTACCTTACCTAACCCACATCAACACCTGCAGTACCTCACCTAACCCACATCA